GCTGGTCGCTGCAACTTGCGGTCCAACACGGTCCTGCTGTGCGCTGCTGTAGCTGGACTCGGTCAGGCACTTGAATCCGGAGAGTGCTTGGATTGGATGAAAAGCTTAGCTAACACAAATGGTGTATGTTGTACTTTCGAAGGAATCGACGAGACAGCCAACATGCCAGCATCTCGCAGCACCTGAAGTTGTGCACCAGTCCGTTTGTCAGGTCAGTCCTGGCAGCAGACACACGCAGCTTTTGACAGAGTCCGTGAGCAGGTGCCTTGATTTTGCTTACTTCCTGAAGCTTTTAGACTTTAGAGTGACGTTGCTGCTCTTGACGCTGATATCGAATGAAACTATGGACAACGTTGTGGTTAAGGGTTAATGCTCCATTGCTCACTATTCATTTTTTCATTGTTGGCAAACCATTTGATTGACTGCTAGGCTCAGAAAATGGCGGCCCATGTCGTGGCACGCTGCGTTTTGCCCATGTTACGTACCATGGTCAAATTCTAAATTACTGCACTGCTGGTGCTTTTTCCGTCCACAAGGATATCATATTCTGTATTGTGCTGCGCTCACGCTCTCTGCTGCTGTGATCATGCCGTGGCCTTTTGCAACAGTGGTGTTTTAGACATTGCTGCGATGCTCGCAGTGTGGACTGCTGCTACTGGCAAGGGCCTCAGGTTTTCCTGGCTCGCAACTGGAAAGGCGAAGGCCTCGCATTTAATTTACGTTCAGGGGATGGATGGTTCATTGCTGTGGTAACACAGCGTGTCAGCTGATGCGGCGGTTTTTCTCCGCCGACCTTTGCGGGGCGGTGCCCCTGGCCAGATCACAACAGCAACGATTTGCATCGCTGTTATTTTTTGGTTGTTTGGGGATGCAGTAAACTACGTTGAACCCATTTTCGCTTCTTGGTAGTTAGCTGTGCAAGTGTGAACGAAACATGCACGTGGCTAAACCTAGCACAACAATGGACTGTGCAGGCTCTCCACTCCGAATCTCCACACCCCGCCTAGTCCATACCTGCGCCGCATTGACCCTCCTTTTTGTAACATCCGGTGGCAGAATGTGTCAGATGCATACCCAAACTAGGGGCACGTACTCTGGGTCGCGTGCAAAAGCACGCACAAGCAAATGAAGAGAACCTTCAAATTGCTGGCAGGACCCAACACAATGGAATCGTGCAAACATCCCAGCATCATCCAGCATCTCACGAGAGCCTTCAAGAAGTGACAGCTTCGTGAAGAGACTCTAAAATACAGTTGCCCATATCCAAATCCAATCCGCCAAGGAACCAAAGCCCGAGTCAACCGACTTGAACAACACATGAACGAAGCACAAGTCAGGAAAAGGAGGCACGAGTCAAGAAAAAACAGATGCACGCGCCAAGAAAAAGGCAAGGCTGGAGTCACAAGAAAAAGAAAAAACACGAATCAGGAAAAGGAATGGTACGGTTAGGAAACCGTTTGCGAGTCACGGAAAGACCAGCGAGCCAGAACAAAAAACCGGTACGATACGCACATATGTTAACACTGCGCCACTTTTCACTTGCCAGGCGCAAACATATGTAAAAACCCAAGCCCTCTTCACCTTACGACTTACGATGAGTAGAAAGAAATGATACCTGAGAGAGGGCAAGCCAGGTGCAGGCACATGTTAAAAAAGCCTCGCCTTTCCCCTTGCAATGAGAGGAATGATGTGATACAGGGAAAGTGGTGTCACCCTCTTTTTCCCGTGTCGATCAGGAAGTGAAAGAGGGAAAGCCGGGTCAAACATGCATTAAAACCACCCCGTTTCCATGCGATAAATGGAATGAAGGGACACGGGGACAGCCAAGGTGCAGACTGGTCAAAACCAACCCCTGTTTCATCTGGCAATAAGACGAATGAGGTGATAATCCTAAAAGCGTTTGCGCAGGATTTACCCAAATATCTGACCGTTTAGGAGGTTCACTGCTGCTTTTTCTTCTTCCCGACTCCTGACTTTCTTTTTCCCGATTCTCGCCTTCTCCTTCAGGACTCACGCCTACCTTTTCCCGCAACTCACTCCACCTTTTTCCCAACTCACGCCATCCCTTTTTCTCGACTCATGGCGCTGTTTCCAGACTCACCCCCTTTTTACGAGTTGACGACTTTTCCTTTCTCCGACTCATGCCTCAGCCAACAACACGTGTTGCGAAGCGATGCCGGCACCTTAAGAAGTGAACACACTGTCGGCGCGGACTGCTGCACATGATCTCAGCCTAAGCAAAATCGACGCCAAGCCTTGCAAGAGTGCAGGTAGCCTAACGCTGCCTAAACGACGGCTCTCACACAGCAGGACAAGCACGAGACACTGCAATACAACATGAATGACGCTCCCTGGTCAGCCTGTCAAGTCATCTCCGACGATGCGTGGGCGGCACCATGTTGTGAACATGTAGGCACACCGCTGATGCAGCTGGGCACGTTCTCGCTGTGTTTCTCGCTGCGCTTCTGGAACTGAACATTGTCCCAGCTTTGTCTTGATGCACCCCTATCGAGACTTACTCCGCAAGTCCCTTCCAAAAGCCTACTACTGGGGCTTTTGCACCTCAAACCGCGAGGCCGCTGCACAAGTCAACATCGGGAAATCATGCAGTCCACCGCAGCACAAGACGCAGTCTCCAGCATTCAGAGACCCGCCCAGCATTGACCGCAAGCCCGGCCGCGCCTGGCGAGTGCGGCCCTATGCTCTTGCGAGTAGCCCGCCTTGAAACATGTTGAAACTTAATCAAACAAGACGAGATTTTTGTGTGAGCGTCACAAAAAGCCGCAACCTGGTGCTCGGTTCTTGCTGCTAGCCAGTTGCTTACGAAAAGGCGAACAGCAGGGCATGATTTACCAGATGAAGTGGCATGGCCTGCCGTCATCATGCCGCTTCATTTGGCCTTTGACCACGGCATCGTTTGGCTGGTTCCTGTGGCTGCGTGTGCAAGTATTGCACTTCTGAGTGCAATTGCACACAAACCTGAAAGGGGATGGCTGTCAACGAAGTCTTCTTCGGCACGTTGCTATCCACAACAGCCTGGGTGGCTGCTGTGCAGTGGATGCAGGACCACACTAGCTCGACTGCAGTGTGTAGACTTCAGCAAATGAGCAGTTTTCTGAGACTCGAAGCATGCTGTGATTAACTCCGCTGGCTTTTTGGGATCAGCAGTCTGAAGACACAATTGCCACGTCGCAAGCAAAACCGCTTGCGGAGCATCAATGAGGGCCCAGGCTTGCGACATCTTCCAGTCTGTATACTAGCTGTGGCCTGCGATGGCGGCAGCCGGCCTCGCATCTATGAAGCGCGAGGTGGCCGCAAGCATCGTGCACAAGATGGAGGCATGGCATCCGCATGCCATCCCTTGCGCAATCCGCAGCAAAGCTAAGTTTGCAAGTGGGGTTGTACAATAACCCGGCTTGTCTAAAATATGTAAGGAGTGTCCCCAGATAGCACTTGACCTGTCAAACGATAAGGCGTAGAAAAAAAGATAAGGTTCAGTCCTGTAGTGGCCAGTAAAGCAGGAATATATATATGAATGGAAAAAAAGGTAGTCTTCTGATGCGCCATCATTATTTTGTGATGGCCCCTCAGTACTTGACCAGTACCAGTGTAATAAAGTTCTTGAGTATGGCCCCAGATCATGGGAATACGAGGAACCCCAAACGATACTAAAACGAGACCAAAAACGATAAGGTGGGATACACGAAAGGCCGTTTTGAAGGACCAGTCCCACTAGTAAGCGCTAGCACTATTTGCACTATTTGCCGTANNTACCTGACTCATTGTTCTTTTTGTTGCCAGCGCCGCACTTAGTGGTGATGAAAGACGAAATCGCTAGTTCTTCTCATCGCTTCTAGGCATGGAGGCGATCAACCTGGCTCTTGGTGCGTAAGATTTGCAGATTCGCTTGCTTTGCCAATGCAGGTGGCAGCAGCAGCAGAGGTATTGACCGAAATGAAGACTATGGATGCCTGGCTGTTAAGGGACAAGTGTAAGGCGTAAGGGACAAATGCAAGGCGTGGCGATTTCATCTTACAGTGCTTGCTGATTCCTGCTCTTTAGCTCGGCAAGTCTCGCAACACGACAAGGTAGCCGCACAAATCATGACAAAGCCGCCAGGCTGCAGTTCGGGAACGCACACAATTACAGAAGACATTGCAGGATGTCTTGAGGTGCCAGGTCCTAGGTCATGCCTTCTCAAGTTAGCTCGAAAATGCACACTTCTTGTTTTGTTTGCCGGAATTGAGTTTGTTGTTTTGCCAGAGAAAAGGCCACCGAGGTACAATATTGTTTGCATCTGAGGGTTTGCAGGCCGGAAAGCATCTCAATTTGGGGTTGCACGTTTATTCACAGACTTCTGAGTTTACAAAGCAAGTCAGACACGATGAGAGACGTACAAGCGGGCACACGTGGGACCATGTGTTGCCTTGGATGGTCCTGCGTAAGACAATCATTTACCTGATTGCCACCGTAACCCGCGGAGCCATCTAGAAATTCAAATCAAGCACGGCCTTCCATAAAAGAAACAGACGTCATGCTGACAGCTGGAGACTTCCATGCCCATGATTGTTTGACGGCATGTGAGTACCTTACCAGATTTGGTGGCACGTGCCTGTTTCACAGTACAAGATGTGCACAAACATTGTTGAGGCTGCCCGAAGTTGCTGACGACGCTACGGTGAAAGCTGCAGCCATTCTTGCCGAATGCGTTTCTTCAAAAGCAGCTGACATTGTGGCGGAGATGTCTCCAGCTGCATGCGTCGGGACAGCCATGCAAGTGCTGGCAGACTGGCCCCAACACAAACTTGCTTCGTTGAGTGGTATTTGGCTTCGTGTATGTCCTACGCTGACCAAAAATCCCGAAGCCCTATCCGCTGAGCAGAGTTGCGCATGCCAGGCAGCCGTCCTGTTTTGTCTCGTTTTTCGGATTCCCGAGGAACCCCTAACCCGCTGGCATCTAGCATATCCAGCAAGCTGCGCAAAGCAGGATTTTTGCAGAGATGGAGCAGGACGATGCAGTCTCCGTTCTCAGCGAGATGGCATACGCTGGAGCCGGCCGCGAGGGAACATTTGTTTGCTTGCTGCATGTACAGTCTACCGTACAGGTTGCCAGAGGGCATATCCATAGCCGATGGCATGAGCCTCCATCATTCCAAAGGGCAAAAGCTACAGCAAAGCTGCCTTCCGTCCTGAAGCCCAAGATGTGCAGGCTATATCCTAGCAGAGATGGAGCTGGAGCATGCAGCAGAGATCCTGCTTGACCTAGACAAGCAAAACGCCTCTCAGACAGAACTGGACAAGAACCTCCAACACGAGGCATTTACCAGCCAGCACAGGTAAGCCGGACTTTGAGCTTGGCTGAGGCTGCTTACATCCTGGACGATATGGACACAGAGCCAGCCACAAACATTTTGGCAGCCATGGAGTACGAGCAAGCGGCAGCTCTGACATCCAAGATGGTTGCAGATTCTGCAGCTCTTGCATTTGCTGAGTTGGAGTACGAAGCAGCGGCATGCATACTCTCGGAAATGGATAGCACAGTGGCTGCCGGCATCTTATCCGAGATGGATTCTGCATCTTGGCAAACTTCCCACTCCTCGTGGCATCATAATTCTTTTCCCCTCTCCCAATATTCAATGACAATCCAGAGGCGTAAAAATCCTGAAGAGCACTATCAAGACTACTTGTCAAGGGGCCGGTAAGGATCCCACAAGCATCACGAACGCTAGCTTGCTGGCTTGAGTTGTCTCTTGCATTCGCAATAGTACGAGGCAGGCAAGATCTGGAAAACAGCCAACTTTTGTAACTATTGATTACACCACAGGATTCGGGGGAAAACGTGGTTTTTTCAATAATGAGGTTCTTCAACGATGACTATGGGAGTGGATCTGCTCACGAATTCAGATGTTCGGTCGTGGGTTACTTGACTTACTTGTGCATACTTTGCACATTACATTTGCTTGTCCATGGCAAGTTCGTGCTCGGTGGGCTTAAGTTGGCGGGTACATTGGACCTTTCGTGCTCCGTGGTACACCTTCTTCAGTGTTCACTACCATTGCATGGTCGTCTTACGAAATTCAATGCGATCAGCATGCTGGCATGCTATTCTTTCCGCTGTGTTCACTTCTTTGGAATGCTTCTGATACTGATGACATCGTTCGCATGTGAAAACCGCCAGCGGTCACAGGGATGGGGCCCCTCGGGGTCGCCATTCTTGTAACCTTGGTCGCTTTTGGACCGTCGCGTCTTCGTCACGCGTCAAGAGTGTCAACAGTCACAGGGATGAGGCTAGTCTGGGTCTTTGCTTTTGGAGGCTCCTGAGAGGTGGAGAATGGAGTCTGGAGTAGCAAGTCAAGTGAAAATTGCAGTAGAAACTAGAAACGTGAAGTCATGACTTGGCAGGTGGAGTGGGGAGCGGAGTGGAGGAGTGGACTGAGAGTTGAGCGAACTGAACTGGAAACTGGAGTGAGGAGTGGAGTGGAAGTCAAAAGTGGAGTAAGTGGAATGGAAAGTAGAGCGCAAAGTGGAGTGAAGCGAGTGCAATGGAGAGTAGAATGGAAAGTGGAATAAGTGGAATGGGGAGTAGAGTAGAAAGTGGTTGGAAGGGAATGTGGAGAGTGGAGTGGATTGAAGTGGGGAGAAAGGAGAATGGAGTGTGAAGAGCGGAGAGTGTAGGGAAAGTGGACGCGACAGCGGGCGTTTGACTGGCATTCACCATCCCTCCTCCTGCTGCACTCCAGTGCTTAAGCCTGTTCTGAGGTCATAGGGAGGGGTGGGAAATTAAAACATCCAAGCAGATCAGGGATCTCCTCGGCTTCGTAGGTTTATATGGTTTTTTAGCGGAAATCAAACAAAGTCTACATTGGAATCCGATTGGTTCTAATAATGCTGTCATTGCAAGTTAGATTGCAATTGGTGTTAATTAAGTTTCAATGCGTTTCACAACATGTTTGATTTACGTTAAATTTTCATGAGTGTTGATTCCCCTCAATAAATCATGGGCACATGCCTATCCCCCCGCATTTTCACACTTTCTAATCATCTATATGTAGCCCGGCATGTCTAAAATGTTGCGCTGCATGAGTGTCCCCCTGCATGTTCGCATTTGAAGTTGGCCTGATATTGGAGCGCAAGCAAGTCTTTCTTGCTCTCCTCCGCTTTTGCCATGGCCAGGCCATGGAAGATATTGGGCATAGCAATGAATCCTCCTGAATAAACGAAGAGGAGAAGGATTCATGAATTCGCGAATCTTTTCCTTGCTCATGGTCAAGACAATAAGGACGCCGGCTTTACGAAAGAGTTGAAATTGCGCCGTATCGAAGTATGTCCACAAATATGCACCTGAGCCTCAGACAGGTCCAGGCCAGACGTTTTTGCCCTTGTGCTGAGGGTGGGTAGCGTTCATGAGTAGATTAGTATTTTGTGTTTGTGAAAAGTTTCTGAGTAAGATCCAGAAACCAAAACAACAAAGATTCTAGCCAAGGACACCCTGCCCATTTAACTAACTTGAGGGAAGTGAAAGCTCCAGTTCCGTGGACGTGCTCCTAATGATCTTCATAAGAATTCAGCTCCATGAATTTGCGCTTAAATTCCATGTAGTGGAACAAGAGAATTTGAAGACATTGTTTTGATTTTGGACGATGGGCTATGCGGAATGCCTGACTCGCCATAGGCACCAGGACCGGAAGCGCTTGAGAAACACTTATCTGTAGATATCGGGTTTGTTGTAGGTAGAGGGGTCGCTTGTGACTTC